CTAAACCATGTACTTACCTTATATTAGCCAGTACTTTCTAGGTAAGTACACTGTAAGTACACGCAAGTACTGTACTGTAAAAGGAAGCATTACCCCCATGTTTACCTTAACTTTATATTACTCAGTACTTTCTTAGGTAAGTACACTATAAGTACACGTACTGTAAAATAAAGTGCAACCTTTAAAGGTTTTGCAATTAGAGAAACCTCTACTTATCAAGAAGAATCCAATTGTCTTTGATGTTTTGAGAGAAAAGTAATTCTAAATGGTAATATAAATAGCTTTGCCACAATTTCGTATGCTTAGGCCAATGGATCTGTCCACTATCAAGAAGAACATTGAGAACGGGCTGATCCGCACCACAGCCGAGTTCCAGCGGGACATCATGCTGATGTTCCAGAATGCGGTGATGTACAACAGCTCAGACCATGATGTGTTCCACATGGCCGTGGAGATGCAGAGGGACGTTCTGGAGCAGATCCAGCAATTTCTGGCCACACAGTTAATCATGCAGACCTCGGAATCGGGCATCAGTGCCAAGAGCCTGCGCGGGAGAGAGGCCAACCGCAAACAGGACCCCAATGACAAGGTGTGGCGCTCTACATACAGCAGACCTTCTGCACGCTTCAGCACATAAAAACATTCTGGACCACTAATGTTAGTCCACATGAATATATACACGCCACCATCAAAAGATTTTTGATAGAAGTAACAATTAGTACTGCTGAGTGAAACGGATTTTTGAAAAAAAGAAACAATGTAGGGTGGGGACTTGGTTCTGTGCATTGGTTGTTGATTGGATGGAGGCAGAATGTTGTAAGAAAGGGGTGGAGTTAAAAGGAAAAAAATGAATATGAATGAATGTACTGTACCAATTTAAAGTTCAATTAGAAAATAACCGTTTCCTATTTTAATATATATTTAAAATATAATTTATTCCTTTGATGGAAAAGCTGAATTTTCAGCATCATTACTCCAGTCTTCAGTGTCACATGATCCTTCAGAAATCATTCCAATATGCTGATTTGATGCTCAAAAACTTTTCTTATTATCAATGTTGAAAACTCTGATACATGTTTTCAGGAATCTTTGAGAAATAGAAAGTACAAAAGAACAGCATGTCTTGAAATAGAAATCTTTTGTAACATTACAAATGTCTTATATTGCAATAAATAATGGATATGTAATATTGGTTTGAGTTGAACTGATCGTTGTGTGAGAAGAAAGAGACACATTGGATGTCTAAATTTGTTCAGTCGTTGTGGAGTCGAACCTTCTGCAGATCATTGGGCTCATAATACAGTCAAGTGTTAAAGTAACAACAGGTAGTTTTTTGCTCTCGGGCTCCCCCTACAGTTGGGAAACAGTATTGTCCTCTACTACTGTCGTAAACTCTGTCATCCTACATGCACGTGCAATTGTTGACAACCAGGATAGCCCTGAACACTGTAGGAGGAGGTCACATGCAGGTGTTCTGCTTGCGTCGCGTGTGAAATGTCTTCATCCCAGGTACAGTGGCATATATTTCAGCATGTCACATGAATATAATTTCATGGGTTTTATTTTTTTTTCTAACGACAAATGATCGCGATGCTCACGTTTACAAGCCAGCGTCATTATAGTAGCCTAGTCTATTGGTTACCGTTTTACTGGATCTATATGATACTTCAATGCAATGTTTGAGTGGTTGATAATAACCATATATCGTCAATATTATAATATCAAGCTACCATAAATGAATCTGCAAATTTTACAAATCGATTTGCATTATAGCTTGAGGCAAGACAAATAAACAAATATCACAGACATGTTAGGTATCCTAAAATATGATTTTATTAATAATCTTCCTCCTTTCTTTGTACATGTTGAGTAGACTACACTTTTTAGGTCAAACATTTGCTATTTGCATTTCATCGATTGCAAAGTTCAAATCAGAACGAGAATACTAGCGATAGCTAACCATCAAAAACTAGAATATCGTTTACTAGCTACCAGATTGATAATTCGCTACTACTCTAGCGAATTAGAGAGGTTAGAGAGAGGCATTCTTTTTTCGATGGGGCGTTCGATGCTCCCTGCACACGCAAGGTCTCTCGCTCGCTTTCTCTCTCTGCCGTCCGCGCGCGTTGGAGCACAGTCTCTGTCTCGCGTGCGCGCTCGCTCTAGATTCCGGGAGATTTGAACTAATTTGCGGTATAACTTGTCGATCACGAGTGGCTCAACAGGTAGATCTATAGATAAACTCATCTTTCAGGCATTTGACCGACTGGGTTGACAATTTAGCGTGAGAAACCGGGGGTGTGGCGTACGTGTGAGCGTGTGAAACCAATCAAATGCGGGTGTCTCACGGCCAATGCGTGAGAGTTGGCAGCTCTGCAATGTTGATCCTCGTTCTGCCTTTAACGCGATCACTTTCTCTTTTTCTCTTTTTGCTTTGCTCCGATAAAACCTTTGCTTTCTTGTTTTTCTGTGCTGCTTCGGCCATGACTATAACATTTGGCTCGCAAGTCCGATTTTAAGGAAGTGGGGGTGGTGGTGGAAGTGACGTATATGCCGTAAAGCAGTCGAATTTTGTAGTTCTCTTTGTTCGCCGGTTACTACCCGAAACCCGAAGTTTAAAAGTACGATTAAAAACGCTACAGACCCCGTCAGGCTATGGCAGACGTGTCATTCAACCTATTGTAAGTCGATGTACCATCACAAGAGACTTGGAAATATATTATGAAGGTTGAAAAGTTACCTGTTGTTACTTTAAAACACATGAATGAAACAGAAATACATTAATAGTTAGTTAATAGTGAGAATTAGACCCTAATATAAAGTGTGACCATCCTATCTTTCTGTTCTTTTCTTTTTCAATGCAACTTCTCCTTTTAACTGCTTTTGCATTTAAGTGTTGTGTATATTCAAAGCACCTTTATCTCTCTCTCTCTCTGATGCTAACCTTTGTCCTCTCACAGGACTGTGTTCCCATGGCCTCTCCTGCATTCCTTCTCTCTCTCTTTGTAAGTATCCTGTCTGCTCCTTCTATCACTTTTGAACGCTGCAATTCTTTCTACAGAACAACCACAGAGACAATGTAACGGGAAGGAGAAAGAACAATCCCCTTTTTGTTTACTGGCTAAAGAAGCTCAAATTTGATATGCTGTCATTGTCAGACTTTCAAATTTGACATGTTAAAGTAATCGTGAAAAACAGTTGATAAAATAGAAAAAAAAGTGATTTTGCAACACAGAAATAACCTATTTTCTGTGAATGTGCAAAACTTCCGATTTATTAGTAACTCATTGTAAATAACTAGAAGAATAACAAAATCAACGGTAAAACTATTTGTGCTACAAACAAGTGTTTATAATAATGAAATTAAAAGAATGTAACAAATAACAGTTTTCAGTATCAAATGGCATAACTGGAGGCGAATTACACTGGAAGCCAGTGTAATTCGCTGCGACATTCAAGTGCGCACTTTTACATTAAAAATGAGGTGGATGGTGACTGAGTGAAAACAAGTCTCTTCATCTGTCTCTGCAGGACGGGGGCACCAGGGGGCGACGCTGCGCTATAGAAGCAGACCTGAAGATGAAGAAATGAGCGACTGCACTGGCCGGAGGACAGGCTCCTTTGAAACACTAATAAGGCCCTGTCCCAAATGGCACCCTAAGCACTCGCGGTCTTCCTACAAGTCCGCACTTTCGTGACGTAATGCCGCTTTGACTGTTGGGAAGAAGTCTGCTGTGGAGCTTGCACCAGTGCAGGTTCAGCAAAAGCGCGCTTTGAGGGCACATATCGACCGCAAAGGGGGCGCTCGCGAGCACCCTTCTGAAAGCCTTACAGCCTTTGTAAGTCCACAAGACCGAAAGTGCATATGAAGTGTGCCATTTGGGACAGAGCCTAAGTGACTGATTGATAAAGACAGCATAGGACAATCTGTCTGAACCATTTTGCTCACACCCCCCTCCCACACGCTTAAACAGATGACTTGAATATTCACGAGGGTTTCACTGGTGTGTGGTGTTTGGGATTGGACAATGATGGGACAGCCTCAAAATCTGTGCATATATGCGTCTGTCTGTATGTAATTGTTGTGAGATGTGTTGTGCTGTACTAAAATTGTTTTGTGTACAAATAGTGCCTTTATAGGTATTGATGAATGATGGGGAATAAACCTGATGAAGGGACAAAAACTGAAATTGAAAGGCCTTTTTATGTGCGTACAGGTTACTGATATTTTATCCTCTTTCACTTTCCCCTACAATGCTGTATTCTTGTTTCAAACCAATTACTTTTTTTTCTTTTTACTTGGAGAGGTTTTAAATGTTCATGCTGACCAAGGACTTTCAAGCTTCAAAAAATGCATCAGAAATTAGGGTATCTATAAAAAAATAGCAATACAGAAGATTGGTGTGAGAAACACCACTTTAAAACTGAAATTTAAAGTCGCAATGTAATGGAAGTAGCGAGAGATCTTTTTCTTTCTGAGTGAAACGGATTTTTGAAAAAAAGAAACAATGTAGGGTGGGGACTTGGTTCTGTGCATTGGTGGTTGATTGGATGGAGGCAGAATGTTGTAAGAAAGGGGTGGAGTTAAAGCGAACAAAACGATTGGAGAAGTCTGACAGGCGTTAAAGGATCTGTATCGTTAGATTGAGGTAAAAATTGGAACAGGAATAAATGAATCGTTCACAATTAAGAACATGAATTAAAAAAATATATCAGTTGAATTTGCCAAATTTAAGTCCTTATTTATTGAAATTCTTTGGTAACCATTCACTTTCACTGTAAAAACTTGTTTTGTGTTCCCCGCAGAAAGTCATACAGTTTTCAAAAGGCAAATGATTTTCATTTAATTGTAGAGTTAATAATTCCTTTTATGCAATATAAACTGCTGTAAAACTAAAATGATCAATTATGATACTGGCATGATCGCCACTTTTGGTCAATATTTAGTGAATTCAACATACAAGCATACAGCTTTGGAGAATCACAGACCACAGAGAAACTCCGTTTGATTAATGTTTTATTTAAGCGGCACAAAACGCACTCAATCCAAACAAAACTTCCAACAGTTCGCGTACTGGATGGAAACAAGATCACAACACCATTAATGGCACAAACTCTCCACAACACATCCGATACTCTTCCTCTGTTTCATCTCGAATAAGGATGCCTCCTGTAGTGCTTCTGAACATCTCGTGCTCACATTTGTGCTAAAGATCAGTATGTTATAATATATAGAACATAGTGTTCAGTGACATGAAGTAAAACATTAATTGTAGTTCAAAACAGATGCTGCTCAGTAACGGTTATTTGCCTATTTATAATTACTGATATTAAACTGTGCGGTTAACAGCTTCGAACACTAACAAGGAAGGGAGAATGCATGGATGGATGCATGCAATACACAAGAAGTTAAGACAAATAAAGTGCCAAATACTAAATAAATAAATAAATCAAATACTGCAGATTTATAAATCTGAGGTAATGGCGTTTAGCATTTCTGTCAGTGCACTGGCCATTTTTACTCTCTCTCTCTCTCTAAAAAAAAAAAAAAATCTGCTTACAAACAGTTTCCTAATACCTTTTCATCTCCAAAACTTACAGCACCGTAACAAATGACCGAAACACTATTTTAATGTACACACTATTTTAAATATTTTATTTTTTTGCTACGTCCAGAGAGCTTTGAAAAGCTGTAGTGGTTTATATCCCTGTTTTTGAGAAGTGTTTGTTGTTTCAAAAACAAAATAATTAGCTTTTTGTCTTATTAAAAGTTATAACTATTGTCAAATGTAATTCACAGCACAAATTCAGGAAAAAGAAATGAAATATGTTAATTTAAATAAGTTAAACTCCTATAGAGAATGAAGCTTAAATGCGTCTAATTAACAACAATCACTAGCTTTAATCCTGTCGGCCAGCCTGGAGCCGGTGCTCCTTAATGTAAGGAAAAAAAATGCCAGGCTCTCGCACGAATTACCCTCTTCCACTCGTGGTTGTGCATCGCAGCTGAATCAGATGCTTGAGCATCTCAAAGGCCTTCAGATTTCACCCCATTAACGGATGAAAGGCACAAACGCTCAGCTTGGGCTACTGCTTTAACAAGTCTTTCCATGCCTTTCTCCTTCCCAAAAAGGTGACCCACCCGATTAAATTGAAATATGTAACTGATACTAAAAGCTCTTTGATTAGGCTGACCATGCTGTCTGGGAGGGCGACGATGCCTCACTCTCCTTTCTGTCGGCCGATGAAGCGGTGCAGCTTGTCACAGTGATCCAGTTTCATTGTCTCGGCCTTCTGCTTCAGCCGCTCGTCTCGGTACAGCTGGCCCAGGTTAGTTAGATCAGATTCTAAAACAAAATGGCTCAGCTTTAATAATAGAGCTTTATATTCCAACTCTCACGCATTCTGCATTCAAGATACAGTATATATATATATACACACACACAAATGAATCGATATTGAATTGAGATTGAAATCGAATCGCAAGCTTATTAATCAAATTTTGTATCAGTATTCCCCCCCCCCACCCTCTTCCTCCTAATTCTCACTCCAAGCTGAACTCAAAAGTTTGCAGCCCTGTATTACAGCTGTGTAATTTACAGCTATTACTAAAACTAATGGATGAGAAGAATTCTTACTCTGTTGCTTCTCTTTCCAGCAGCTGGTCTGTAGGTGGTCAATATAGTCGCTCTCAATGGTCTTCTCCATCTCGTCCAGGGCAGCACCGTGGTACTCCTTCTCAAAACTCTTATCCACATAGTATGGCACACCCATGTGCTGGGTTTCCCTGGACACCACTAACCCCAAGGACCTGTGAGACGGAGAGTATGTCGGTTCTTCTCTTAAAGCATGTTTTACATCATGCATTGCGTTTGACTAGTCTATGGCGAAAAATATTCTTTTTTCCATGACTAAGAAAAGACGATGACGAGACGACACCAATGTCATTAAGCGATAACTGTGACTGTAACAACATGCAATATCATTGACAAGAAAAGAAGAGACTAAATATTACAGACTGTTTTTAACAAGCCTCTATGAGCTTTCATGTTTGCAGTTGCCAGATGTCAAGAGTTTAAATCCCTGGATACATTTTCTGCCTGGTGTTTAACTTAACATTTGCAATCTGGCAACCATGCGCACGCGCTCTCTCTACACTGCTGAAGTGCCATCTCCATTTGAGATATTCTGCTTAAATGAAAGAGTCATTCAGCCGGTCTGTGTTTTGTCACGAGGTGCTTGCACTGTTTACTGCGACTAAATCTGCGAGATGAACTGTAATAAATCCATTCTCGATTATATTTGCGTTTGTGATTGCGGCATAATTGCACTTTTTTACCTGTTTTTATAATGTAGACAATGTGTTAATTTATATGATAAATAGCCTATAAACTAAATGAGGTCAAATAAACCATAAGTATGAGTTGACATTCTCTTGATTTCTGCTTGTAGGTGAAAGTGCAATAATTCTGATGAAATGTAAAAATACATTTCTTAAATGACAGTATCAATTGAATACAGCATGATGAATATGGGACTATTCAAGTTTTCATTGACTGAAACTAGACTAAAATGCCCAGACATTTAATCAACTAAAACTTGACTAAATATGATAAAAACTATAAAGTACATTTGACACAGGACAGGACTAAGACTAAATTTCAAAATAGCTGAGAAAGTTATCAGTAGGTTTGACTCACGGTTTGTAGAAGAGGCTGTAGGGAGGGTTGGTGGCCATCAGCTGAGTGAACACAGAGATCAGAATGAGCACCAGCACCGGCAGCAGCTGCAGGAGAGCTGTGAAGTTGTTCTACATGAAGAGAAACAGGAAAAAGTATTGAGAAACCGAAAATCAGAAACCGAATAAAGGTGCAGTCACATTAACGAAGTTTCTGCAAAATTTTGCAGGCAAAAAGGGTTCATGGTCTGTTGTCAATAGTGTTGTGATGTATGAAGCACAGCTTAGCCACTTTCAAGCCCAGCAGCTTTCTGTTAAACTGTTGCAAGATCTGCGTGATGAAAACTTTGACCCTCAGACAAAATTCCAGACTGCACGTATTCCTATTGAAATGACTGGATTTCACTCGTGAAGATTCACTGAACAACGGTAAATGTGACCCACCTTAAGATGGTGTTTTATGAGCTATGACACGACTCCCATATCTGGATTTATTAAATTATTCAGAAATGCAATTCATAAATACAGTGACTTGAATATGCCTCTTGTATGATGAACATGTTTTTAATTTCTGAACTAAAATTACTTTGGATAATTAATTTTTTTTTAAGGTGATACACCTATCCTTATATATATACACTCACCGGCCACTTTATTAGGTACCCCATGCTAGTAACGGGTTGGACCCCCTTTTGCCTTCAGAACTGCCTCAATTCTTCGTGGCATAGATTCAACAAGGTGCTGGAAGCATTCCTCAGGGAGTTTGGTCCATATTGACATGATGGCATCACACAGTTGCCGCAGATTTGTCAGCTGCACATCCATGATGCGAATCTCCCGTTCCACCACATCCCAAAGATGCTCTATTGGGTTGAGATCTGGTGACTGTGGAGGCCATTTTAGTACAGTGAACTCATTGTCATGTTCAAGAAACCAATTTGAAATGATTAGAGCTTTGTGACATGGTGGAAGTAGCCATCAGAGGATGGGTACATGGTGGCCATAAATGGATGGACATGGTCAGAAACAATGCTCAGGTAGGCCGTGGCATTTAAACGATGCCCAATTGGCACTAAGGGGCCTAAAGTGTGCCAGGAAAACATCCCCCACACCATTACACCACCACCACCACCAGCCTGCACAGTGGTAACAAGGCATGATGGTTCCATGTTCTCATTCTGTTTACGGCAAATTCTGACTCTAACATCTGAATGTCTCAACAGAAATCGAGACTCATCAGACCAGGCAACATTTTTCCAGTCTTCAACTGTTCAATTTTGGTGAGCTCTTGCAAATTGTAGCCTCTTTTTCCTATTTGTAGTGGAGATGAGTGGTACCCGGTGGAGTCTTCTGCTGTTGTAGCCCATCCGCCTCAAGGTTGTGCGTGTTGTGGCTTCACAAATGCTTTGCCGCATACCTCGGTTGTAACGAGTGGTTATTTCAGTCACTGTTGCCCTTCTATCAGCTCGAACCAGTCTGGCCATTCTCCTCTGACCTCTGGCATCAACAAGGCATTTCCGCCCACAGAACTGCCGCTCACTGGATGTTTTTTCTTTTTCGGACCATTCTCTGTAAACCCTAGAGATGGTTGTGCGTGAAAATCCCAGTAGATTAGCAGTTTCTGAAATACTCAGACCAGCCCTTCTGGCACCAACAATCATGCCACGTTCAAAGTCACTCAAATCAACTTTCTTCCCCATACTGATGCTCGGTTTGAACTGCAGGAGATTGTCTTGACCATGTCTACATGCACTGAGTTGCCGCCAGGTGATTGGCTGCTTAGAAATTAAGTGTTAACGAGCAGTTGGACAGGTGTACCTAATAAAGTGGCCGGTGAGTGTATACACTCACCTAAATAATTATTAGGAACACCATACTAATACTGTGTTTGACCCCCTTTCGCCTTCAGAACTGCCTTAATTCTACGTGGCATTGATTCAACAAGGTGCTGAAAGCATTCTTTAGAAATGTTGGCCCATATTGATAGGATAGCATCTTGCAGTTGATGGAGATTTGTGGGATGCACATTCAGGGCACGAAGCTCCCGTTCCACCATATCCCAAAGATGCTCTATTGGGTTGAGATCTGGTGACTGTGGGGGCCATTTTAGTACAGTGAACTCATTGTCATGTTCCGAAACCAATTTGAAATGATTCGAGCTTTGTGACATGGTGCATTATCCTGCTGGAAGTAGCCATCAGAGGATGGGTACATGGTGGCCATAAAGGGATGGACATGGTCAGAAACAATGCTCAGGTAGGCCGCGGCATTTAAACGATGCGCAATTGGCACTAAGGGGCCTAAAGTGTACCAAGAAAACATCCCCCACACCATTACACCACCACCACCAGCCTGCACAGGTCTGATGAGTCTCGATTTCTGTTGAGACATTCAGATGGAAGAGTCAGAATTTGGCGTAAACAGAATGAGAACATGGATCCATCGTGCCTTGTTACCACTGTGCAGGCTGGTGGTGGTGGTGTAATGGTGTGGGGGATGTTTTTTTAGCACACTGTAGGCCCCTTAGTGCCAATTGGGCATCGTTTAAATGCCACGGCCTACCTGAGCATTGTTTCTGACCATGTCCATCCCTTTATGGCCACCATGTACCCATCCTCTGATGGCTACTTCCAGCAGGATAATGCACCATGTCACAAAGCTCGAATCATTTCAAATTGGTTTATTGAACATGACAATGAGTTCACTGTACTAAAATGGCCCCCACAGTCACCAGATCTCAACCTAATAGAGCATCTTTTGGATGTGGTGGAACGGGAGCTTCGTGCCCTGAATGTGCATCCCACAAATCTCCATCAACTGCAAGATGCTATCCTATAAATATGGGTCAACATTTCTAAAGAATGCTTTCAGCACCTTGTTGAATCAATGCCACGTAGAATTAAGGCAATTCTGAAGGCGACAGGAGGTCAAACACAGTTTTAGTATGGTGTTCCTAATAATCCTTTAGGTGAGTGTATATATATATATTGAGTCATTAAATTATTATTATTAGTAGTAGTAGTATTCTAGTCATTATTCAAAGTCATATGAAACCCAAAATCAATACAAAGAGTACATTTGTTTCTAATAACTTGGTACATGTTTTTTTCATGAACACTTATTAGTGGATTGGTCTTGTTTTAGCCCTTGACCTGTGTCCACACATGATAGGTGATTGTAGGATCCTCTCACCTGACTGTGGCTCTCCTCCACCTCTTCCTCCCGTCTCTCGTACGCACGGCGTCTGCGGGGCTGGTAATAATGAGCGTAAGAAGCTCCACGGTTGGTGTACACATGGATGTTGCCTACATGAGGAAAAGGATTGTTTGTTCTTTAAATGTGTGAGAAATCTTTAGTTTATATTAATTACTGGAGCAGATAATTGTGATGGACACATTGCAAAAGAATAGCAATTGGGCAAAATTGGGAAAGAAATGAAATAAATTGTTCTATTTAACCAATTAGAAACAAAACTACATTTCAGAAAGGCACAAATGTAAATTTTTACATTTTTTATATGTATTATTTTTTTATATTTTACAAGTATTAAACATTTTTAATACTTCAAATCCAGTTTTATAAATGAAAACTAAATAAACACTATTTAGTTAGCTATAAAGCTTCATTGAGGTTCAGACCTGTAGGAAATCTGCCCCCGAAGAAGATGTTGAAGAGCTCCTCTGGGGAGATGTCAGCCTCGAAGTCTCTGCCGAAGGAGCGGTGGTGTCCGTACGCATGACGGGCTTGGGCTGAAGTATGACTGGATGTCTCTGCAGGGCCCTGGTCCCCACATTCATCATATTGCTGCCTTTTCTCTGGGTTACTGAGCACTGCATATGCATTGCCTATTGCTGAATAGAGAACAGGATTAGAAGCTATATATGAATTTTATATTCACCAAGGTTGCATATATTTGTTGCATACATATAGACCAGTAGGTGGCGCAGTTGCAAAATTGATGTGGTGTGGTCAGAGTGAGGTGACAATGACACATATAAAGTTTGGTGTCAATATGTCGAGGCACTGCAGATATAAAGCCTGAATAGTCATTTTGGCCACATGCCTCAAATATGCTGCTGCAGTATAAGAAAACGGTTTCATCTATCAACACGAAATCCATAACTTTTATTCAGCATGGTCTGGAGATGATACGATTCGAATTTGGTGAAAATTGGACAAACGGCCTAGGAGGAGTTTGAAAAAGTAGGTATTCAATGAAAATCAAGATGGCGGACAGGAAAATCGTCCAAATACGTCAAACTTGGTATCTATGTTCTCGGCATGACCCAAGGAATCTATTAAGACCAGTGGCATTACAATACGCATATTTATTCAAAAGTTATTAGCATTTTTGGAAATTTAATTTAACTTTTGACCAACAGGTGGCGCTAACTCGAAATCTTTTGAGTACCTTCAGGGGATGGTGTTGGTGGCAAATTCTGAGTTTCATAATGTTACAACAATGCATTTGTTAAGTATAGCATTTTACATCACAAAACTGTATTGAAGTCAAAGGGAATTTCATGTTTTGTTCTATTATAGCGCCACCAAGAGGCAAAATCCCACAATTTTTTTCATGTGTCCTCAGAATGAGCTCATACATGTGTGTGCCAAATTTGGTGAAAATATCTCAATTCGCTTCGGAGTTATAGACATAAATATGAAAAACACGTCAAAAATGACTGACACGTGACTTTGATTGAATTTTACTACCCCTTACTTTATATATTTTGCCATTTAGACATTAGCAATAAGCCAGCGACCTATGTTTCCAAACTTTTGACGGTGGTTTCGTCTCGATCGTACTAACGGTTTTGAAGATATCGGCAAATGTTTTTTAAGCTCTAAATCACAACGCTACACAAACCGTAAGACGAAACTTAGCATGTTTGGTTTCTGTGGACTCGGCAAGGATTCAGGAACCCAACGAGATGACTCCCGTGAAAATAAGTCAACCACAGCCAGAGTTATAAGCATTTGAAGATTTAATTTTACCACTAGGTGGCGCTGTTTCGAAACTTCTCAGGCTCCTTCAGGGCATCGTACTGATGACCCATACCGAGTTTCGTAACAATTCGTTCATGCGCTCAAAAAATACAGCATTTTAGCACATAATTCAAAATGGCCGACAGCCAAAATGGCCGATCTGGGAAAATTGGATATCAGTCGACTCGGCATGATGCCCTGAATCTAACGAGACCAATTTTATGATTTTTGGATAAATAGTTCAGTACTTATAAGCAAAAATAGGCATTTTTCGTATCTCCGGACCAGTACGTGGTGCTGCGCCGAAACGCAGCATGTAGCCTCAGGTCATGCTTGTGATGACATGGACCAAGTTTGGTCTGAATACGATAAAGCGTTGCGGAGATACAGCCTTATGTCTGTTTTTGCAAGCACTACGTAAAATTAATTTGTGCCGTATTCGAGAACGGTTTGACGAATCAACTTGAATTCCATAACTTTTTGTCAGCACTGCCTGGAGATGATCTGGTTCAATTTTGGTGCAAATCGGACAAACCGTCTAGGATGAGTTCGCAAAAGTAGGTTTGTTAGACAATTCAAAATGGCGGACATATTTCTATGACGTAAAATGACGATTTTTTCAGCAGTATGTTGTTAACCGAGTCTCCTTGTGAACTGCGCTCATTAGTTTCCATTTCTCCTTGAGAGGCTGCGCGAGCCTCAACAGCGCAACCTTCTTACCGTCAGTAATTCATTTATCCACTATCGATCACAACTTTCAATAAATGTAATAAAATCAGAATCATTCTCTCGTTTTATTGATTTCCAAGTTATTTTTTGTTAATGATGTTTTAATCAGGCTACTTGTCCGGTCGGGCAAGTTAAATTCTTTTTCACTTGTCCCTTCAAAACATCCACTTGTCCCGGACAAGCGTTAATGTCGAGCCCTGTATGAGATACCTTTGAAAGCATCGGTCGCTCCAGGAGCGCAGTTCTTATCCGGGTGGAAGCGTAGTGCCAGCTTCCTATAGGCTTTCTTTAAGTCCTCATCACTGGCATCCTTTGGCACCCCCAGAATTTCATAGAAGTCTCTGCATCTCTTTATCCTGCACAAGTTCAGGAAGTAAATAAATAAATAATGACTTAATTTAATTTTTTTGGGGTGACAATTCCTCTGTCAGCACCTGAGCACTCCTTGCCGCTGCTCCTCAGTGTAGCTCTTCTTGTCGTCACTGGACCCCTCGGCTCTCTCTTGGCCTCTGACCCGCTGATGTGGAGCCGGGCCGTCTTCATCAGAGCTCCTCCAGCCAGGTGGAGGCGTGAAGGTGCGCTCCTCTTCAGGGGGAGTCCCACCATTCTTCACGATGGCATCAATCAGTACTAATGAGGGAAATTGGGAATCATTTCACATATTGTTGCATTGAATGTAGTGACTTGTATACAAAAACAAACCCCCTATATATTAGTATTACTATTAGTACTCCACAATTAGGACTTTTTCTGCTGGCCCACTTGGGAGTGCTACTCTTTTTACATTTCCATTAAAGTCAGCAAGGAACAAAAGCTGCGATAGTCTTTTCTTTCCTATTGTGACGCATATCCGAGTGAAACAACTTCTCAAACAAGAAAAAAATCTATGGAGGGACTTGATTTTGCCAGGGGTGGTTGTATACCTAAAACCGCCAGCAGGTCAAATGTACCTATGCACATGACATGACAACTGTTTTGATATGGCTAAAAAACATAGCCTTCTGTCACTGTATTAAGCCACTGTCTTCACATGTCTAGAGTCATGAAATTATTATTTTTTAGTCATCAACTATAGCTGTGTCCCAAATGACGCACTATACACTTATACACTATGTACTTATGCACTATGTACTCAACCGTGTAGTGTATTAACTTTATACGTTTATTTCGTCTTTCAACGTCGGAGTCTGATAGCCCCTCCCCTCCGCTTCCGGCTCATGGGACCTTATTTCGGAAAAAATATGTATGGTAGTCAATGGCGAGAGACAACTTATCTTTTTATTCCGTCTGAACTGTGCCCTGAATTACACATATGATGTTTGTCAATTTAAAAGATAATTCTGAAAGTCAAGAAAGTCGCAGTTTGTCATAAAACAGAAGAGTAACATTTAGTTTTATGTGAAAATCGCTCAATGAACTACATATCCCGGGAAGCGAAACAACGAGCAAGATCCGTTGCTCGTATGTGTGCAGTCTGGTACAAAACACTCAGGCATGTCGGCGTAACATTACGATTATAACATAAAACTTTAGAAAAAATGACAGACGTTAGCTTCAGTAATCAGTAAAGTTAGCTTCATTCATTGAGAAAATGGGGTTTGTAGTCTTTGGGGTTTGTAGTCCTGTAATTACGTATTTTCAGTCTTATACCTCAACAGTTTTACATCAAACTGCGACTTTCTTGACTGTATGTATCTTTTAAAATTGACAAACATCATATGTGTAATTTAGAGCACAATTCAACGAGATCAAAATATTTGTTGTCTCTCGCAATTGACTACCATATAATATTTTTCCGAAAAAAGGTCCCATGGTTGTAGACCGGAAAGGGAGGGACTTAGGCTCTGACAGTTGTGTACAAGAAGTGTCCAACGTTCCACACCAGAGCCCGTCTAACGGAGAGCCTTGGCACTTCCTATTAGCCCCATTGTGTATCATCTTGGTTGCAGTTCCATTAGAATTCCACTGGAGGTGATCGCGGGCGAGTGCAGAATGAATGGGAGTCTATGGAGCTAAACGGCTAAATGTATCTCTTTCTCCTGCTTGTCGTTGAATCAACATATATTTTATTGTTGATTCCGCAAGTCCAATATAGATTAAAGGCCAAAAGTCGAATGAACGAGAACTTATGTCCTTTCGATTTCTTACAGGTTAGGCCGTTGTTGGCCGGAACACGCTATTATGTGACGTCATCACGTTTTTGAACGGATTTTTAGAACAGATAAGTGAACTTAAAAATGCAATTTTCAGCTGAGTGTATTATCTTAGCCCTCCCTTTTGAATGCAACTTTCAAATTACTTGACAAAAAATTACATCCTGAGAAAAGTGGATTTCTGGGGGTGAAACCCCATAGACTCCCATTCATTTTGCACTCGGCTGCGAGCGCCCCCGCATGGACAGAGACGTGTTACTGCAGCCAGTCCAGAAACCGGAAGTAACCAGACAGTGCCAATTCTCTTCAATTAGACATTCTCTGTCCACACTTCGTTTTTTCGGTTAAATAAGTGCATCATCCGGGTACTTAAAGTGCACTTTTTCTTTTTAGAATTTTCAGTGTGAACGCACTACTCGCACTATTTATACTACAAAATGGCGTAGAATAGTGTACAAGTACGAGATTTGGGACGCATGTTTTTGTCCTGTTGTTTTATGTTCAAGTCTATTTTAAGCAGGCTACACTAATCACTTTTCATAACTCTGAATATAGGCTAAACCAGCCTGCAATGACAACGAGAATTAGAAGGAAATAAATACATATTTGGAGGGTGTAATATTATAAATAAATCATTAATCATTAAGATAACCCATGTTATTTAAATCACTATAATACCCTAAATAGACAATAATAAGCAATAATAAATCACCGCACTGCATAGGATGTATGATGCAACGACAAATTCAAGCGCACAGTTTCACCAAATTAATTATTAATTTGTTTAGTTATATCATTTATCATTTGAAAAAGAGAACAACACCAATACACTTGTGGTAATTATAACAATTGATTTATTCATTACATCATAGATTGGAACCACATGAGGGTAAACAATACATATGAAAAAAAGAAAAAAAAAGATTGGATCACAAGGGGTGCGTTTTTAACAAGATCAGCCTCCACTGAGAGGCATCGAAGCTTTCAAAACGTCCAATGTCAGATCTTTTTAGGCTGCATAAATTAGGTCAGCCGGAACCAGGAACACTTCCCATAACACCTGATGTACTCGTTACATCATAAGAAGAATTATGGCATCTACGCTAATATTAGTCTCTCTATTTATCCAGAGGTTACCGTAGTCTGCCAAATCTGGGCCGTATTCAGATCAGATGGAGGGAGGACCAGTGCCTAAACACAACAACAATGCAGCACAATGCAACTAGTCTCTCCCCTGTGAAGGCTTTGGCACGACAGCCAGTGGCACAGATCCTCATCCAAACACGTCTCCTTACCGGCGAGAAGAATCCAATCTTCAACCAGATGGAACTGGATTAAATATTTTGAATGTTCTTATTCCAATCTGACTTCTGACCTGTAAATGCTATTACAGTTCGTTGGCCTGAAAAGGACTGGTCCCCAGACTGAGCCTGGTTTCTCCCAAGTTTTTTTTTTCTCCATTCTGACACCTTATGGGAGCTTGGGTTCCTTTCCACTGTCGCCTCTGGCTTGCTTATTTGGGGACCCTTAATATTCAACAATTTTATTGATATGCCTGCAATGACACCATTGTATGAGAACTGAACTGAGCTGGGTGATGACGTCACTGTTTTCTCCAGAGAAACAGTATAGATAAATTAACTACATTAATAGTGAATAGTGAATCAACACTGAACTTACTTCAACTGGAAAATGGCCTTCTTCTAGAGCTGCTGTGCAGCCAAAACAATATTTGTGGCATTAATATCCCGTTATCACTGTGAAGCTGCTTTAAAACCGTATTGTAAAAAGCGCTATAGAAATAAAGGTTAACGTTACTTGACTTCAGCCAGAGAGTGAGAGAGACCCAAACCCACCGCTGACCTGATGACAGATTGTATAACACACAACATCCAGACGCTGCACTTTCTATTTCTATTCAGCACACTGACCAAACACACCTGATTTGTCAATCAAACAACAGCAGCATGATACAAACCTCTGGCCCGGGTGCTGGGGTAGATCTTCTGCGCCTCGTACAGCAGCTGCAAGGCTTTCTCTTTGCGTCCTGACCGCAAGCACAGCTTGGCTTTCTCTATCAGCCTGTCAGACTCCTCTTTGTCCATCTCAAACATTGTCATTTCAAGCAATGACACCTCAAACCCGCAATAAATGACTTGCGAATTAACTAAGTGAAGCAAAATAATCAAAATAAGTCTTGTCTGGGTGTAAAAATGACTCGCGAAGTTGTTGACATCAAGCTAAATCTAGCCTATAGCGTTATGCTAGCTAATGCAACCACAACAATTTATCTTCCGATTCTAGACATCTTCCGCACTTAGATGACACCTCTACGACGCGACTTAATCGAATATGAATTTATTATCAAAACTATTCATGTTTGACCCTTTGGCTTCGTCATTGTAAAATGAGCGAGAAAGACAGAAATGCAACACTGCTTGCAACCTCCATCGCTAACCGGAAGCGGACGCGCATGGTGAGGGACTACAATCCAAACAGCCAATCAGAAAGCGACAATCCTTGCCGTAAATGGCATGAAGGCAACACGCTAAAAAATCCTAAATGGTACCCGGCGTTAATGGGTGATGCTGGCATGTGTGTTTATGGATCACCCCGTTATTTGTAGGTATTGTTTGGAGTAATTTGCTGGATAAGCATACGTTTTGATGGCTCTCATACACTGAGCAAAGTGACCTTTCACGTTTAAATCAGAATTATTTTAAATGAACACCCTAAAAGGTATACGCAGGGCAGTCACTGGGGTTTGTAAGGCCCTCGAATTCTATGGAGGGATTATTGGGTCAGATTGAAAACTAAAAGTCTAAAACTAAAAGTCTTAAACGAAAACCAAAAGTCTAAGTTTGAAACTAAAAGTCTAAGTCGAAAACTAAAAGTCCAAGTCGAAAATGAATTTGGTATTTAGGATTGGGCATTTGGTATTTAGGATTGGGCATTTGGTATTTAGGATTGGGCATTTGGTCATTTAGCCATTTAGGATTTAGGATTGGGCATTTAGGGATTTAGGATTGGGCATTTAATCATTTAGCCATTTAGGATTGGGCATTTGAGGATTGAGGATTGAGGAGTGTATGCAAATAAGGAGGCGTGGCCCAAATACTGGAGGCTGGGTTTGAAATGGCTGGTGCAGATGCACCTTATGGACAGCAGAGGGAGCTCCAGTCAGTCCAGTGCTAAGGAGCACACTGTAATGAAACCAAACAGAGCGAGTGAGCAGGTCTGGAGCGAGGACTGTACTTTATAATGTGATAACTTCAACTTAATGACAGCGTTGTATAGGGGTACTGGAACGGTACATGTATTCCTATTGAACCGAAACGGTAGCCTACGGGCGTCACGGTTCGGTGCACGAATTTAAACGGAGAATACACGGTATAAAAATAAATAAAACTCTAAATAGCGATACATTTCGCTCTATTCGCGTTTGGTGTGAACGCAGAATAATAAACAGGCTGCGACGTCAAGGTTGCAATGTTGGAGTGTGTGCTGCAAAGTTCAAACTGCAAAGTGTGTATATTTGTGTACACTCGCAATAAAATACAACATTGTGCTTTTGTCACACTCTAAAATCTTGTCAAACTGTAACCTACAACTGTCACCCAACCAAAATCACACACACACACACACACACACTCTCTCTCTCTCTCTCTCTCTCTCTCTCTCTCTCTCTCTCTCTCTCTCTCTCTCTCTCTCTCTCTCTCTCTCTCTCTCTCTCTCTCTCTCTCTCTCTCTCTCTCTCTCTCACACACACACACACACACACACACCTAGTTCGTTCGCGCCCACGCCTCCCCCTCTCTCTCTCTCGCGCACACACACACTCCAGCATTGCAATCTTGATATCGCAGCCTGTTTATTATGCTGCGTTCACACCAAACGCGAGTAGAGCGAAATGTATCGCTATTTAGAGTTTTATTTATTTTTATACCGTGTATTCTCCGTGTAAATTCGTGCACCGAACCGTGACGCCCGTAGGCTACCGGTTCGGTTCAATAGGAATACATGTACCGTTCCAGTACCCCTATACAACGCTGTCATTAAGTTGAAGTTATCACATTATAAAGTACAGTCCTCGCTCCAGACCTGCTCACTCGCTCTGTTTGGTTTCATTACAGTGTGCTCCTTAGCACTGGACTGACTGGAGCTCCCTCTGCTGTCCATAAGGTGCATCTGCACCAGCCATTTCAAACCCAGCCTCCAGTATTTGGGCCACGCCTCCTTATTTGCATACACTCCTCAATCCTCAAATGCCCAATCCTAAATGGCTAAATGATTAAATGCCCAATCCTAAATCCCTAAATGCCCAATCCTAAATCCTAAATGGCTAAATGACCAAATGCCCAATCCTAAATACCAAATGCCCTATCCTAAATACCAAATGCCCTATCCTAAATACCAAATGCCCAATCCTAAATACCAAATTCATTTTTGACTTAGACTTTTAGTTTTCGACTTAGACTTTTGGTTTTCGTTTAAGACTTTTAGTTTTAGACTTTTAGTTTTCAATCTGACCCAATAATCCCTCCATAGTATTCACATTACATTCCGTAAAAAAACACAAAAACATAGGCTGGTGGGTAGGTAGGGGAATGCAGATGCACACAGTAATTTTCATGATGAAAGCGCTGTCTGCCGCCCTCGTGTGGCTGTGAGAAAAACAACTTCAGGTGAAAAATAATCATGCAGTGATTCTCAACCGGTGGGCCGCGGAGCGCCATCTGGTGGGCCGTGTAGGCAGTGGTAAACTACCCACAAATTCATTTTTATTTGTTTTTTTTAATTGACAAATCTTGTTATTTTCTAATTATCTGATTGTTCTTATGAATTTATATGATCAAAAACACTCAAGTCATGAAGCATTATCTAAAAGCGAATTTATGTTCAAATATCGCAACGCCAATCACGTCACAACGTCAGATTGAACGTTTGTTCGATGATCAGATGCAGCATTACGTTATATGGATCGTTTTCTGAAAAGAAACGCATACGTGGGAGACAGACCTGTGCAAGCAAAAGCTGCGAAGTGTGTGGGGAGAAATTATGACGCTGAATAGGCTACATTAAATTTGGTTTTTATAAGGGCAGGTAGGCCTACTGAGACTAAAGGCCAATTTATACTTCTGCGTCGAGTGTACGCCGTAGTGTACGGCGTAGGCTACGCACGTAGGCGACGGCGTCATGAGCATTTATACTTCTGCGTTTAGGTCTGCGTTGCTCTGCAGTACAGCGCCGAAACGCTAGTTGGCGGCGGAGGGTTTTAATGTTCCACTGTGTTTAGATTCCTCGCGGCAAGAAGAAGAAGATTCCTCGCGGCTGTTTTGAGTTTAAGTTACTACAAGCAATGGCGACTGAAAGAGAGCAGATCATGTTGGAGTTGGAGCTTATCGAGGTGGAAAAGGTACATTTTTAGTTTTTTTAACAGTTTCGCTGTACTTAGAATTTAAAAATGGCGGGCGGTGCAGAAGAACACGCCGGAAATGCATAGGAGGAAACGCGATGCTACCAAGCCGACCAATCACAGATCTTGCGGTCCGCGTCGTCGCGACGTGTAGTTACATTTTTGAGGAGGTGCGCGTCAGGTTACGGCGAAGGGTACGGCGTATGGTACGCGTCTGTGCGTATGCTACGCCGTACCTACTGCGCGCACCCGACGCAGAAGTATAAAGGCCAATTTATACTTCTGCGTCGAGTGTACGCCGTAGTGTACGGCGTAGGCTACGCACGTAGGCGACGCCGTCATGAGCATTTATACTTCTGCGTTTAGGTCTGCGTTGCTCTGCAGTACAGCGCCGAAACGCTAGTTGGCGGCGGAGGGTTTTAATGTTCCACTGTGTTTAGATTCCTCGCGGCAAGAAGAAGAAGATTCCTCGCGGCTGTTTTGAGTTTAGGTTACTACAAGCAATGGCGACTGAAAGAGAGCAGATCATGTTGGAGTTGGAGCTTATCGAGGTGGAAAAGGTAAATTTTTATTTTTTTTAACAGTTTCGCTGTATTTAGAATTTAAAAATGGCGGGCGGTGCAGAAGAACACGCCGGAAATGCATAGGAGGAAACGCGATGCTACCAAGCCGACCAATCACAGATCTTGCGGTCCGCGTCGTGGCGACGTGTAGTTACATTTTTGAGGAGGTGCGCGTCAGGTTACGGCGAAGGGTACGGCGTATGGTACGCGTCTGTGCGTATGCTACGCCGTACCTACTGCGCGCACCCGACGCAGAAGTATAAATTGGCCTTAAATTGGCCTTAAAGGGGGTCGCACGCCGGACGAGAAGCGCAGCGCCGCGTCTAGGGGCCTGTTTACACCTGGTCACTGCATGTGTTTTAAGATCTATTTTAGATAAATAGATATCTGATTTATCAAAACGATTCCATTTACACTTGGTCACATAAATGTGTTTCCGCAAAACGGATATAGCCTAGCCTAAATCCAATCTTCAATTGCCGCGCTATATGCAGATTTAATGGAGTTCACCTCACTGAAATCAAAAGATATGAGCTGCAATTTATTGATCATCAGCTAATTTCAAAATCAGAGACCACAATAGGAGAGAACGGCAATGGCACATGGTAAGATCATTTCATTTCTTTGAATGTGTGTTAAGCGTCTGCGACTTAGGGGCTTTCACACTAGCACTTTTGGTGTGCACCCGGGTTCGAATGACGTCAGAGTTCGGTTCGTTTGGATGATGTGAACGCTGTCTTCCGAACTCGGGTGCGTACCCGCGAACCGTACTCGGCTCCGCTCAAAAAGGTGGTCTGGGGTACGGTTCATGTGAACTCCAGTACGGTTCGCTGCTGATATGAACGCAATCGAACCAAACCGCGGAAGTGAACCGCTAGACGTATAATGTATAGACCTTATGCACCAGAGAAACGTGGGCGCTGTCATCTTTAGAATATTGTCTTTGAACTTCCAGGAGTAATTAGCTGGTGAAGTGGATTTACTTATTGTAGAGTTAACAAAAGTTATCATGAGCATTGTAATGTTTATCAGAAGCATTGTAAAGCAGATGTCTTAACAAATGTCGACCGGGAAATTTTTTACGAGCAGTTCATTCATACCTATGCAAGATCGCTGTGAAAATACAGACCGGAAGTCAAAAGACAACGAGCGCAGCGCTGAAAAGGGGCGGGCTACATAAGGTCTATAATGTGGTCGACAGGACAGTCGTCTGTGTGTGTGTGTGTGTGTGTGTGTAGCCTACACTTACCTTGACGAAAAGCGGGATTGACGCACTGCAAGCAGAGAGATGATTTATGCTTGCCTCCGCAAAAATTGTCTTTGGCTGACAGCCAGCTGTCTTTGGAACGATTTTAGTACTTTTGCGGCAGACATACCCAAGTGTGTTTCTGTATCTTTCCTTTGAAAACAAAACCAAAGGTTAAAAAAAAAGAAGAACAAATGTGAAGCGAGCAATTCTATCCATTTTGACGCCTTTTCATTCATAGCGGCGCCGGTTACCAAGCA